GATAGCTGTTCAGGAATATGTAAAAAAAAAAACACACACACACACACACACATATACATATGAATATATGAATGTGTACATTTTTTAATTTATTTAAATATATTTGTTCAGGTCATTGGTTTACTCTGATCGATTTGGCAAGTTTTAAAAAGTTATGCTGCTTTTTTGTATGCTTTTTGGTAGGTACCAACCAATGCAAACATATAATTAAGAGCACAGGTAGGAAGGTGGGCAATTAATTTTGGGTGCTCTCATTTCTAGAGAAAGAGAGTGTTCACCCCCACCCAGATATTTTAATAGGGGTTATGAGTTCTTCCTTCTTAGAGGGGTGTATTCCTACTGGCCAACTCTGAATGTTTGAAATGATCTGTTTATATTAAACTAAGTGAGGATTAAAGTTTATGCTTAAAAGCATTTTTTATCACTTTGCAGGTTTTGCTCTTAATTCTTTTTGTTGCTCTATTTCTCTTTGGTTTTATTTTTTTAAATTCACCTCTGTGTTTTAATTATACATGAGAAGATGTAGGAACTACGTTTTCTCATGAGGAGTGTGATCTTTGCTTAAGCTCCGATCATTGCCAAAAATTGCCAAGGTCTACTTTAGCTGATTTACTCACAACCCATTAGTCAATAGTAATGGGGAAGTGCACTCATTAAAAGTATACTTCAATCCTTATTAAAAATATATAAATTTCCAATTAAAGTGCCCTATTGAGAATTACTCATTAACCCCCCCAAAAAACAATGCAGCCTGACATCCAGCGCCAAGCAATGCACCTGGTGCTTCTCCCCGCCACTTTTCTGGCATTAAAGGCTCAAAGAGAAGCATTTGATTAATTGATTCTCACTGGCTCTAAGAACATGCGCAAAAAAATCTACAAAACAGAGGGAGGTGGGGAGGGAGGGAAAGCAAGTTTTCGTTTTTGCACAGACTAAGCATAAGTCACATATGCTGGGAGTGTAACTAGCACCCGGCACGCAAGTGTAAATAGTTCTGAATGTGCAGCATTTCAAACAGAAATGCTGCACGTAGAGACTCCTACCTCCATGGTAACTTCTAACAGCATAAGCAAAATAAAACTGAAAAAACTAAAAAAAACTAAACAACAACCAATAAAAACCATCACAGAATCATGTTATACTGAGACAGACAGACCCATAATGTGACAATATATTTAAAGGAATACAAACCTGTATTTCTGACACTGTAGTGCCCGTATGGCTGTTTAGGTTTCGTCCTCCCTTAGATCGCTCTGAAAAGGTATTTAAACTCACCTTTTTTTTTCACACACCACACTTGTTTTTTTTAAATTAAAATAATGAATTTTGATAGCAAGCTCTACTTCTTAAAAATAAACAATGAATGTAGGAGGAGGACAACAGTTCTAGCTCAGTAAAGAAACTTAAATAAGAAAAAAAAAAGAAGAGAATATTTTGAAGAACCTGTTATAGAGACTAAACTTTGTTTTCTGATTTAAATACATGTTTTTGTTAAAACTATAGTTTCTCTGTTATCAAAGATGTGAGTAAAGAGACAATACAAATGTTACCAGCTAATTTACCATACATGGGTCAAAGGTGCCACCTAGTCCTGAGATAAGGCTGAAATAATGAGACAGCACCTGTTTGTTCCCATATGCCTGGACACCAGATTTATCTGCAGCCTGGTCTCTCTGCTGAAGAAATTTACAAATGTCATTAAAGCTACAGAGGCCCATATTACACTGCACTTTTTCTTTCCTTAAGCTGTAAAGAAAAACAGTTAAAAGAAAAACACAATACATAAAACCTCAAGTAACAAAGAAACAATCACAATGCCCCAAATGTCAAAGTTAATGTCAAAGGCATAGGTTTAGATTAGTATCAGAGTCACTTGGCCTAGGAGAGTTGCCTAGGCCTACAAATTTAAACAGATCACGTTCAATATTCCCCGTGGGGTTAACTTTAAAAAAAAAAAAGGACTATAGTGCAAGGAATACAACTTTGTATTATTTACACTATAGAATCCCCTTAATATGTCTGCTCTTTATTTAATATTTCTTAATACGGTGTACATTTAAATGTTTTTAAAGCAATTACAATGATAAAGAACAATATTTTATTATCTTATACATGATGACTGAAGATTTATAATGAACACTCGGGAGATAGGAATACTTCTAAAGTTGCTCCATTTTTGAATGAGTATTCCTTCTGCGTTTGTGTGTGTTTTATTTTGTTATATTAAGGTATCACCCTAGGTTAATTAATAAACTGTCAGGAATTCATGCCATTGTACAGAACACTGGTGAGACCTCACTTGGAGTATTGTACACAGTATTGGAGAGCGTATCTTCAGAAGGATATTGATACTTTAGAGAGGTTCAGAGAAGGGCTACTAAACTGGTTCATGGATTGCAGGATAAAACTTACCAGGAAAGGTTAAAGGATCTTAACATGTATAGCTTGGAGGAAAGACGAGACAGGGGGGATATGATAGAAACATTTAAATACATAAAGGGAATCAACACAGTAAAGGAGGAGACTATATTTAAAAGAAGAAAAACTACCACAACAAGAGGACATAGTCTTAAATTAGAGGGACAAAGGTTTAAAAATAATATCAGGAAGTATTACTTTACTGAGAGGGTAGTGGATGCATGGAATAGCCTTCCAGCTGAAGTGGTAGAGGTTAACACAGTAAAGGAGTTTAAGCATGCATGGGATAGGCATAAGGCTATCCTAACTATAAGATAAGGGCAGGGACTAATGAAAGTATTTAGAAAATTGGGCAGACTAGATGGGCCGAATGGTTCTTATCTGCCGTCACATTCTATGTTTCTATGTTCACCTGGCATAGCAAACCGTAAACCAAAATAGCTAAACATTACCTAACTCACCTAGTTCAACTATTTTGACCTTAGATATGCAACCCCTGGTGAATTCTTGAAAAGTCAAGGTTTACAGTTGTATTTACTTTATGATTAAGTCTAATTTCAAACTTCATGCCAAAATAATCAAACTGAGAAAAAGAAAGTTGATTTGGATAAATTCCATATCAGCTATTTTGGTCCAAAGTTTGAACCTGGACCATAGACAAACTACATGTGGGCTTTTATACATATATCAGTATTGACGTGTGAGATATTTTTATATTTTAGAGTACTGCACAAATATTGTTTAATGTATTTCCATTGTTCAGGGGTACGGATTAATTTTCAGCAAGAGGCATTTTTTGCTTTACTGAAGTTGTTTTATCAGACTCTGCACAAATTATAAACATCTGGATGATTTTCTGGAAAACTAAAACATTCAAGGGTATAATAGTTGATATGTGTGGCAACAGCTGGTTGATGCAAAGAGAATTTTTTTACAGCTTTTTTGTCTTCTTTTGCACCAGTAACAGTAACAGAGATATGTTGAGTTTTTCCCGATATATATTACTATGTAATATGTGTTCCTGTAGTGTCTGTGCTGCCCTCTTTTTACATGCCATTGGCTGCATAGTTTGCCAGTCACAAATAGAATTAAACAAAACATGGAAGTGATTTTGCCAACGGGTTTAATAAATGGAAATATGCTTTGAAGTCAGAAGAAGGGCTATTTGAACATGGAAGACACCATTTTATTTCCCCCAGTTGATTGGCTATTTGTATAGCTGGCTAATGACAATGCAACCACCAGGAGGAGGCTGCAGAAGCATATGAATGTATCTGGCAAAGGCCCCATTTATTTTCAAGTCAGTTAAGGGTTTTGTACATTATTTTTTTTTGTGGTTACTTTATTTGTTTTTAAGATGTGTGGCCTATATACATTTCTTTTATAAGCTTTGGTGACTGTGCTGGATTTATATAGGCTTTATTACTTTTAAAACATAATGGAACAATTCCCAACCTTCCCTAATCCATATTTCTTACGTATAAAGTGGGAAGCCAATTAGTACTTATTTTTAAATATTACAGGTGACCGACAAGACAGTAGCAGTGGCAGTACTGTTAGTGGCCCAGGTCTTGTGGACATTGTTATTTGGTATTTGTATCAGTCTCCACAATACTCAACTATTTGAGCTAATATGTCTGGATAGAGAACCCACTTCTTTGGGTCAAACTACTGAGGAAGTACACTCTTGCAAAGTAAATCATAAAAAGGATCTTCGAAATCTTCTTCATAAAAGTAGAGGTGTTTCTTGAATGGATGTGAGCATGATAGACCTGTCGGAGAATTGGAGAAGCCTGGAAAATAGATCAGATTGTTCTAAACTTTAGGACACCAAGTCACTTTGAGCCTATAGAGAACCTTTCTGTACCCTGAAAAGCTGAAAAACACGCCTGGTGAGGGGGTCAGAAGTTTTTAATTTCTTTGTTATTTTTCCTCCTGGTGGAATGGACGTGACTTCAAGCATCCATGGTTCTTGTGGACTTTCACAATCACATGAAAGAAAGTTATTCTTATCCTCATCGGGATAACACTGTCATTCGTAATAAACTTTGCTACTTGAGTTACTCTTATTGACTTCAAAGTACTTCAAAACCTCTTGGGCCTATTTTTTGTTTTTACTCAAGAGCCAACTGTTGTTTTAAAAAAAAAAAACTTAGCACAGGCTATTTTGGATACACTTCATCGCTTTATGTGGAGTGGTGTGTTATCACTAGTTTTATTAAAATATTGCTTTTTCCCCTCCGTTTCATCTTTCATTTTTATATTGAACTTTGTGTTTTGGATTAACTGTCACATGTGTAATGGGGGTGATCGGCCATGCGTCTGGATCTCTGCTGAGAAACACCTGTTATGTCAACTTTATTACTAAAGAAGAAGTTTATTCATTCTCATTTTCTTTACTCTCTTGCTATTCGTATTCTTCTTTAGAAATGCAGTTCTCAGTTTAAAAAAAAAAAAAAAAGAGGCTCGTCACTACTGCATCAAGCATATTGTCATAATCTTGAGCAGGTCAGATAGGAGACTTATGCCAGGGTTGACTTCAGGTACTTTATTGGTGATTTTAGACATATAATGAAACTTGAGGGAAAACAGAATTTAGGTAATATGCCACAAAACAGGATACTTGCCACAGAACAGGTTACTTGCAAATAATAACGAATATCTGTAATTTCCAGGTAGGGTTGTAACAAAGGCAGGCTGGTAACAGTGGAAGGCTGGTATGAAGTATACGTAAGGGTGGAGCAGGTTATTGTTAGGAGCAGGTTTGAAGGTAAGTCTGGAGCAGGTTGGTATAGAGCAGGTTTAAAGGTAAGTCTGAAGCAGGTTCACAGGAGCCAGGATATGAAGTAATTCAGGTAAATCACCAACTTCAATGTAAAGGCCCTGAGGTTAGTTGGGTGTAGCCTTTTGTAGCTGAAGTAATTAGTCCTAGGCAGGTGAGGACTGAGGTGACTAGTGGTTAGGGAGACCACTAGAGGTGGAGAGCTGTAACTTCTTTTAAAGGAACATAAATAAATGAAGATAAAACATGGTTGTCATGATACAATCCTGACACATATGTCAACAAAATGTTGTTAGTATGTATAATTGTTAAAAAAAAATAAGTCATCCCCCTAACATCCATCACTCATAATCCTGAAATAGCAGATGGACTTGCGTCTGGAGATATGTTTGGGCTAGGCAGAACAGATTGGACTTATCTGAGTTACAGTCACAGGTAAGCACCTGGTCCACAGGGATTCGACATAATTTGAGAGGCTATGTCCCTCTAGAGAACGTCTTCAAAGGGGGATAACGATTCTATACTCCCTGCTACTTTCCTCTACGTCACGCACACAACCGAAATATATGGCTCGATGGGAACAGACCGTTGGCCGCACATTACGTGACCCACAATGGGAAAAAAATACACATTTTGGCGCACCAAAGCATGATCAGCATGGAGGTGCAAGAGCTCAACTATAAACTGATTGTTAACTGGTATAGGACACCAGCCTGTCTTCACTGTATGAATAGTGATCTTCCTGATACTTGCTGGAGTTGCGAGACCGAGGTAGGGACGGACCTACACATCTGGTGGATATGCACCAAAATTGTGCCTTTCTGGCAACAAATACACGCCAAGATTACTGAAATAGATCAAAAAGTATAAAACCTATATCAATAAAAAGTGATCGATGTGTATTAATAAGGCTCGATTGACAGATGAAGTCAGCACAATAGAGAAACATATAGGCCAAATATGTCTAAACCAATGTATATATATATGTATATATATATATATTGTGACAAAATTACTTACCTGTGTGTGTTTGTCCAGGATCTTTTGGCAACTGCACAGCCCTCTAGGGTAAGGAAGCCAGGCCAAGACAAAGTCTAGTTTTAAAGGCCTCTGGCCTGTTTATTTTCTGTTGGTAAGAGGTAAGAGGATACAGCAGGATACACCAAGCAGCAAAACCTTCTTTCTCCCCTCAAAACACTTTCTCTCTCCTCAAACACTTCCCTCACTCCACCCTGCTTTAACTGCAGTTATATAGCTGCTCACAGCCCCTACAGGTGAGGCTAATGACCTCGTTAGGCAGTGAGCCAGAACTCCTTAGAAAACCTGGGCTGGACTCATGCACAGCCACTCTGACAGTGGGTGGAGAATCGGCACACCCTGCTCTTCCAAATACTCCACCCCAGGGACCCAAATAACAACAGAGAAAAAACAACCTACATTTAACCTTAACTTTCCCTGGGGCTGCATGTGCTTAACCACATGTCAGGATAGTGGCTGTGCAAAAGTCTGGGAGCCAGATATACACTCTTGACCACCATCCCCAACACTCTGTCACACAATATATATATATATATATATATATATATATATATATATAAAATGAAAACATAATTTAAAATGTGTAAATGGGAACAAATCATCATTAGAAAAGCATCATATAAAACAATCTATAAAAGCTAAAATATCTAAATCTGTGTTGAGACTAGAAGGCACAGAGGATTTCAGTTTATATATCCATTATGTCTCCTTCGTGGCCAACATTTTTTCCATATCACCACCTCTCCAGTGTGGGGTAATTATATCTATTCCAATGCACATGAAATTATTAAAATTAAAATCTTTACACGAAATGCAATGTCTGGGGACATCAAACGTTTTTATTGATACCATTAAAATGTTCAAGTATCCTCACGTGTAACTTTCTAATTGTACATCCCACGTACCGTATACCAAATTTGCATTGTAATAAATAAACTACATATTTGCTTTGGCAAGTAATACAATTCTTTATCTTAAAAACGTCTTCTGTGATAGAACTTTTAAATTCTGAAGTTTTATTAGCTTGGAACTTGCACGAGCTACATCTCCTACACTTAAAACCCCTTGGTTTCTCTGCTAAAAAAATTAAGGGGTTCGCTAGGATTTTTTATTTTCTCTGGTAAAACACTATGGGCTAAAAAACTTTTAAAATTTCTGGTTTTCTTGTAAATTACTTTTGGTTTAGGATGTAAAACCTTCTTTAAATACTTGTCCTGCATTAGGATGGGCCAGTTCTTATTGATTGTTTTTTCTATTAGATTAGCTTTGTTGTGACATTTCGTTAAAAATGCAAAATTTAAATCATTAGACACAACCCTTTTACTCTTCTTATTTAAAAGCTCTTGCCTTTTAAAACTTGCCACACTCCTTCGTGTGTTAGTTAAAAGTTCTTTAGGATAATGTCTAATGTCTATCAGTAAATGTGTTATTCAAAATCTGCAGTTGTTCTTTAAAATCTCTTTCATCTGTACAATTTTTAAAATCCTCATATGCTGCCCCTTTGGAATATTTCTCAACCAGTTATGCTGGTGGCAGCTTGAGTACTCAATAAACAATTTCCATCTGTTGGCTTAAAATATGTTTTACTATGATAAATCTCTTGATTGATAAAAAGAGTAAGATCTAAAAAAATTTATATTCGCTTCTTGAATCTCTACCTTAAAATTAAGACTATATGAGTTAAGATTTATATACTTCAAAAATTCTTCTAAGAGACTTCTTTCACCCTCCCAAATGATCAAGACGTCATCAACGTATCTTTTCCATAGCACCAGGTTCGCACCAAAGGGGTTATTTTGCCAGATGTTCTTGGCTTACAGCTATGAAAATATTGGCATAGCTTGGTGCGAACCTGGTGCCCATTGCAGTTCCACATGTTTGAAGATAGTACGTTCCCTCAAACCAGAAGAAGTTGTGGAACAGGATAAATCTGATGACGTCCAGAATAAAATTCATTTGGTATGGATGCATCTCTTGATCGTTCATTAAAACTTCTTTGACAGCCTGTATACCCTTCTCATGGTCAATTACAGTATACAGAGACATTACATCTACCTTTGCCCATAAAAACTCTCTCTTCCAGTTTTAACCTTCAACTTCTCTGGTTATCTGGGCAGAATCTTTTGTATAAGACTGAGTTTGTGTTACATATTTTTGAAGATAAAAAAGTCTATATATTGGGAAATGTTGCTAGTTAGAGAACCTATCCCACTGATGATAGGTCTTCCAGGCGGATTATCCAATCTCTTGTGGATTTTTGGTAAATAGTAAAATACCGCCATTTTGGGTGATTTGACAAGGTAATCAAATCAGCTTGTCTAATCACAATATCTCTATTGTCTTTAAGTTTTTGAGTGCAAATTTCTCTTTTTTAGTCAAATTTTCTGTTCCCTTATTTTTAGACATTTTTTCAAATTCATTTAGAATCATTTTGCTGAAAACGAGGATGTAGTCTCCTTTTTCCCATGTAGGAAAACACTTTCATCGATTCTTAAGATTGGAATGAATTAAACCTTTGAAAATAGGGATGGATTAGCAGGGAGGGGGAAAGCTGGGCAGGGTGGGGGAGGAGAACATGTGGGTGGAGGTCCGCCCCTAGATCTGCGAGATGCACCACACGAATGGGGTCGAATGCCGGTCAACCCGGCCCTCTGTGCCACCTACTCCGCAGGTCTGCAGGCCATGTATTCGATCCAGGGAGAGCATGGTCGCATGCAATTTTCTGCGGTGCCCCGCAGTTCCGCCGTGAGGATCTCCATGCTGTAGATCTCTTCCACTTTCTCTATCCATTTTGTTATGGTCGGGACGGTTTGTGACTTCCACCTGGCTGGGATCAGGCTTTTGGCAGCGTTTAGGAATGCGTGTGGGACTTCTTGTACACCCCAATTGGCATCTTGGTGTGATGGAGCAACATTGGGAGAGGTTGCAATTGTATGTCCGAATCCAAAATATCTATCAGCTTTCTATGTATTTGTTGCCAAAAGACAGCTATTTGTGGGCACGACCACCAATTGTGTAGATTCGTACCCTCAGCCGCACCGCATCTCCATAGGGCTGTCGGTTTTATGTCCATGCGGAACAGCTGTGCAGGTGTCCTGTACCAGCATGTCAGGAGTTTATAGTTAAGTTCCTTTATTTTGGAGCTGATTGTCCCCTGGTGTGTTTGGATGTGGATTTTCTCCCATTGTGGGTCCGATAGTGTGGACCCCGTGGCTAGTTCCCACCATGATTGGTACGTCGTCGGCGGGCTCCCACCATTTTTTAACCTCCTTTTTGGCTAAACGTTCTAACCTTTGAAATGCAAAATTTGTATTTAGAGTTTGAGTAGTTTCTTTCCTCTGAAATAAAATCTCAACTTTTTTATACCGTGCATCTCTCATGCTCGTTGTCATAAGCCTACAATAGGCCATCATTTATTTTTCTTCTCTCTTCCTTCTCTCTCCTCTATCCCCCCTCCCCCACCTGCAATTTCCCCTTTCACTCCTTTCTCTCTCTTATTCTTAACACTTATGGGACTTCCTGGGGCTTGGGAGGGGCTGCTAGTGTGCGAAGAGATCAAATGGAGGCGGAGGGCCATGATGTCTCTGCCTTATTTTCTAACAAGACCATCATAACAAGACCTAGCAATAACGACAAACAGCATGTCACACTTTTGTTAGACCAAATGTACATTAATAGTTAAAAATACAATAGATATTATCAGCTCATCCACTGTGCAGAAAACATTTGGACTTTTTTTTTAATCAAAAAGATAATCATTAATTAAGTAACCAGGTACATAAAGAATTTGTATTAAACACAAGCTCTGTATTATACTTTCTTGTTAATATACTTATATATTGCACTTACAATTATAAAAATGAATTCAACAAATAATGTGGATGTTATAACAATTGCAATATTGTTTTATAAATAAAATTGATTTAAAAAAACAACAACAAAAACATATACACATAGGACTTTGTCTACATCAATTTTATACAAATAACAGCATACGGGCAGCAGTGGCCCTCAGAATCATTCACTAAAACAAGAAATTAGGAGAATTGACAATTACAAATTTTAGGCCAAAATAGTTCAACGAAGTGTAAACATACCCCAATGTATCTATTTGTAGGTTAAAGTTTTGTTGTTAATATTCCACAATTCCTGGGAATAGGTTTCTGGTGACCTGTTAGGAATTGTAGCCTTTCCCTTGTATGTCTCTCTGCACCCCTCAATCCCCTAGTGTTAATGTTTTTATATTATTGGCTCACACATTTCACCATTAAAGATGAACTGGCACGTTTTCAGAATTTCTTCTTTATATTGTTTATGAAATACTGATCAAAGTTTAATTAGAATTTCCATGAAATACTACTTTGTCTTATAGACAAGTCTTTGGTTGACAAAGGTGGAGCTTCCCCTTTCAACCTTGTTTCAATCCCAGGAGTAATCACAAGTGATCACTGTAGGATTGAGGGATTGTCTATGGAGGCTTCCGTGGTATGGCGGAAGCCTCCATACTGATTCGGCTCCAAGCAACGAAAGCACTAGGAGCTGAAAAGGACCTACAGAACGAAAATTGGGTGGCTGTGAGGAACTGTTTGAGGTAAGTAAAACTTCCTTTGCACAGTGTGGCCACCAGACCCACTGGAACTGTCACTTTAGGGGGTCTTTGCAAAATATGTAAATTCCCCATGAAAGTGACAGATTTACTTTTAAAAAGGTTAAAAATCAATCAAACTCACCTTTATCTCAGCTGCATGAGAGTCTGCTCTCTGCAGCTTTGATCTTCCTTCCGTGTAGACAATACTGATCACTTGTGTCCAATCAAATGCTTATGAGAGAAGCATTAGAACATGGTGAAGGCACAGCAGGCTCTGTACTTGAAACCAAATCTATATGAGAAGCATTCCCTTCTTCTCTGAACTATAGTTCAACGTGAGGGAGACAGGAAACAGTCCTGGCTGTTTGCTTGTGATTCGGGAGGTGTTTTATAAAAGTGAGAGAAAAGTTTTAATATACACATGCAAAAGAGAAATAAGTTTGAATGTGGATATTCACTGGATAAATAATAAACATTGTTTAAATATTCACATGTCCAAAAATGAAGTACAAAGAAAGTTTTATTTATTAAATCTAAAGTTCTTAGCTTTTCTCTGACTTGAAGATTCTGTCTCAAGGGTGCCCCTTACTTAATAGGCTTATTGGTGGTGGCCAAAAAGTGGGGGGATCCTAAAGAAAGTCTTTGTGTTAGTCGATAGTCCAGAGTACTGTACTATCTGAAGACATTTAGGGAGATTGGTTACAAGTAATTACTACTGTGAGTAGTCACTCCAATGTGTGGAGTCGGTAAAGACAGGAGATTTTTTTAGAACTGTTATATGTATCCTGTTTTGTCTAAATTCAAACACTGATGTTAGTAACTGCAACTTATGAGTAAACGTTTGAATATTCTACACTTTAATATATGTAGGCATTTAAGAATACAATACTGCAGGAGATCTCTAGCGCTAAAATGATGTGTATTTCGTCCTGCCTTATTTCAAACATTAAGGCTAGTAATTGCAATTTATGAGTAAGAATTTTAATATTCTACACTTTACTATATAGTGACACTTAAGAATCTAATATTGCAGAAGATTTCTAGCACTAAAATCATGTGTACTTTGTCCTGCCCTTTTCAAACATTGAGGTTAGTAACTGCAACTTATGAGTTAATGCTTGAATAAATTGGTTTAAAAGGTGACTTTTTACCGATTCCACACATTGGAGTGACTACTCACAGTAGTAATTACTTGTAACCAATCTCCCTAAGTTTCTTCAAATAGTACAGTACTCTGGACTATCAACTAACACAAAGACTTTCTTTAGGATCCCCCACTTTTTGGCCACCACCAATAAAGCCTATTAATTAGGGGGCATCCTTGAATCAGTATCTTTTAGTGAGCGAAAAGCCAAAAGCTTTAGATTTAATAAATATGAAAATTGAATATTTAAACAATGTTTATTATTTATCCAGTGAATATCCACATTCAAAATTATTTCTCTTTTGCATGTGTATATTATAACTTTTCGCTTTCTTTATTTGTACACAGGGGTTACGCCCTAGACACCACTGGAGTGTCCTTCTGGTGATCATATTCAAGGTAGGAGGTCCTGCACAAGCAGACCACCCTGGACTGAAAATCTTCTCTTGAAATTGGCACTTTTATAAAAAGAATACTGCTGGGACATGAAGCTAAAATGCTTTAGATGTCTGTATCGAGTGTTACACGAATCTCAATGTTTTGTTTTTGAAGCTTGATTGATTTTCGAGGTCTTCTTTACTGGCTCTTTCTTTTGAACTGTTTTCTGCTTTGCTAAAGACTGTTGTCCTGCTCTGCAAAGACAGAAATTAAAAACATTATTTTACTACTTGGATAAAGATATTTATATATAATGTAATATAAAGGGCTTTACACAATTATTGTTACTAAATTTACAGCATTTATTAGACCTGTTGCCCAATACGGACTGTCCCATTGCTTTCAATGTAAGTGCTAAACATTTTTATATGAGTAAATAGTATAACTCTTAGCTATCAAATGAAAGTCCTACAGCTCGCAGCAGACCTCTACTGGGATCTAACTCCACAAGTAGCGGTAGAATTTGTTTTAGAAACAAATGTTGTCTTTAATAACTGTCTGTTAACAGCCAACTTAGAGGATAACTATAGCATCAGTTATACAAATCTGTATTCCTAATATTATATCGCCCTAGTTGTGGTTTAGTGGTAAGTCCTACCTTCCTCATATGGAGTATATATAACAAAAATAAAGCTTTCTACTTACTTTCCCTCCAGCGCCGAGACTACCTTGATGCTGCAGGCCATGCATTGCCTTCCACTGGGACATCCAGCTCTTGATGTCCAATCAAATGCTCCTCACAGAGGACAGATGTGCATGCACGGTGAGTTCAGCACACATTCAAGTGCTTCTCATAGGACAGCACTGAATTAAATGCTTTTCTATGAGCTGCAGCATCACGTGACTAAGTTTTACTCAGTCAGTGCAGTGGAAATGCCTTTAGTAGCTGTCTGCAATGTTTCTCTAAAACCAGGTTTTACATTGCTGGGTGAAATGACAGGACCACTGCATTGAGACTTTTGTGGTCCTTCTAACAATCAGTAAAACTAAAAGAGATCTTAAAAAACAAAAACAAAACATATTTTAAGAAATGTAGACATCCCCTAAAAATTGGGTTGTAATCCTGTAATATGATTTTATTGTTGTTTTTTTGTGCTGTTTTTTTTCTTTTTTTGGGGGTAGTGGGGTGGGGTTTAACTGATGGGGCAAACATATGTGTGCTAGGCTCACCAGGCTTTCTGTCAATCTCAAAATATCTTACTCAGCAATGCAGGTTTACATGAACTTTAGTATCACTAGAATAATTCTAAAGAAGAACTCACAAAGAACAAAGTTCATCCAGAGATTAGTCCTACCTCAAGTTAATGAAATGTGTGTCACTCTTAATTTCTCACCTAACAGCATCCCCTACCTTGCTAATTTCAGCAGTTCCTGTCTCTTTAATTTGTTTAGCAATATACCAGCTATCACTCTCAGTAGAAAGTGATATAAACAGCTAAATTAAAGAAAGGGTGTCGTTTGTTCGGCATAGCAGAAAATGACATTTAACCCCTTAAGGACCAAACTTCTGGAATAAAAGGGAATCATGACATGTCACACGTCATGTGTCCTTAAGGGGTTAAATGAACACAAGCAAAAATAGCAGATTTCACTTCTAAAGCTTTAGAGTATAGAACAAAACATTTAATAAACAGGACGATCATAAAATGGTCCAGTCAACCACATAATCTGTTTATGATAAGGTCTTATATTAGAAGGTGATATAATGTAATGTATCCATTGTGCTAGCAAATTTGCCAGTGCCTGAACCCTTCGTACTTATGTTCTTAAAGAAATAAATAAATGAAATACTAGAACTTGGGCATTTTATAAGGTAACATTTAATATTGATTTTAATACATTATTCACAGCAGTGCCTTGCAAAGCTTTAGACTTGATGAATTTGTAATCAGGTTTGAATGAGATCATTTGCATAACTGCAGATTCTGAAAAGGCTGAACTGTCACAGGAACCTTGGGCCATTCACTGACCTCCTGCTGCTGTGTGAACATGCAAAAGTCTTGAAAAACGGGGATTAGTAGGCAAAGTGAGGAATCTGTCAAAATCAAAAATATAACCCAGCCCCTTGGGAGATGGCAAAGTTTAGCCAAGAACTGAACTGTGGGTACACTGCCCTAACTAGACTGAATGCTTTTGCCACTCCCACAATCCATACACTAATATTCTTAATGTCCACTATTTACCACATGGGTAAGTAAGTAAACAGAAACTGAACACTATATTCTCACTGTTCCTAGTTATTAATACCTCACCCACCTACGTGCACATTTAGAAAATAAAATAAATATTCACCTTTTATCCAGTGCTGAGTCTCCCTCGGTGCTGCTCCTCACATGATATCATCTTGCAGACATGATTTCAAAATGACAATCCAATCCAAAGTTCCTAACAGAGTTTGGTTCAGCCATAGAGAATCAATGCATGCAATCATTATCTATGGCAAGCCGTGATGGCACTGCACATGTGCGCATGACATCACGGCATGCCTGGGTATAAGAGCCGGGAAGTTATCCAGAGGGCTTAGAGATGTGACTTGAAGCAACCCATCCAAGCTTTCTAATAATTCTAATTAGATGTTTGAGGGGCAATTAGTAGTAGGGTTCTACTGTTGGCACTATAACAACATCAGTTAGATGAGGTTGTTACAGTAAGTTCAGGGTTCCTTTAAATTACTATTTCTGGAGCCCTAGTCACACATACCTGTCTGTCAATCAAACAGCTTCACATCACACTTCCTGAAAAGGTATGTCAGTTTCTCCCCACAATGTGTTTACTTTAGAGTTTGTAAGGTGGTCCTTCTAATGAAGTGTTCATAGAATAAAGCACAGTCCCTTGTCTGAAATAGGAATCCTAGTATAAAGGGATTTGGAACACTTTATAGCTCAATATTATTGTATTTTATTTTTTTTTCATATAATTTGCAAAAGATCCATCATTTAATTATTTAATAATGTGTGTGTATGTATGTATGTGTATATATATATATATATATATATATATATATATATATATATATATATATATACACATACATATACACACACACACACACACACACACACACACACACACACATACTCCTCAATGATAAGTATTTGAAATATTTGCTTAGACAAATACTGGGCAGATCAGTGGATCATGTAAAAATTTAGACAGTTAGTACGGGAAATTTGGAACGAACACATTATATATATTTTTTTCTCCATAGTACAAATTAATTTAAAAATATGCATTTTGTAATGTAGACATTCTCTTTAAGTTGCAATTTTTGAAAAAAAAAAAAAAGTAAAAAAAAAAAAAAAAAGACAATGTGATTGATAATTTGGATCTGATTATATATGGGCTTTAATGCATGAGAGTACATTACAAGTGCATTATGAGCAAGGGTAATAATGCACTTGCACTACACTTTCCCCTAATCGTCCCGACTTTAGAGTGCAGAAGTTGATTCAAAAAGCATGTGTCACATGGCAGTACCGTTTGACTTGACTGTGTATTCCACCTGCAAGAACTGCAACTCTTAATATGCGCAGCCAGTTCTGTAAGTTGTGTTCACAGTGCTGGAGTGACACATATTGCCTACTCAGCTTGGAATGTAAAATGCTGTGAAGACTTTATAGAAGGTGAAATGACAGTTCTGTCATTCCACTACTTCCTGAGAATGTGTGAAAGCTTATGAGTAAAATAATGCAATAAATTAGTCTTACTTAATCTTTTGTTTTTCCCTTGCGATGTGTGCTGGATCATTTCTCTGTTTCTTTGGAGCTTCGTGAGTGATTGAGGACTGTAATTAGAATTAAACAGAGAAGATTACTGTAAGCTCCATAGAGACATGCTCTGCTCACTCTTCATATTTTCTTAAAAATGAGATATAATGTAAAAACAAAACTAGATTCCTACAATGACATTTGTATAATGTTTTATATTTGTAAGGTTTATTCACCTAAATTACTGGACAGTACAATCAAATATGGTTTGACACACACATGCACGCACACACATACATGCACACACACACACACACTCTCTCTCTCAGAAAACAAAAAAACTTAAGAAAAACAGTGAATTTTCTTTTGTTGTCAACACTGGAAAGGAAGAAGATTTATCAGTGAAAATCTTGTTTTCTTTCCTAAAATTTTGCACAGACGTGGCAGCCTTCTTGAGAGATCGCATGGAAGCCTCACAGCACAGAAGTAGCCACAACACTGATAGAATGGACTGTCAAATATAAGTGTGCAGTACCCGTCCCCAACCAAAAACATTCAGCAGGATCATATAGAGCCATCAAAATGTGTTTGCCTCGACGCCTTCTCACATGTTCTTGGTCTTCCAAATCGCATTCTTGTCCACTTGATGGTGCTCATCAATAACTGGCTATTTACATGCTATATCACTGTGTTTTACCCAGCTATAATGTAAATGGCTCAGCCAGGGAATAAGCTCTATTTCTGGTCATAGAACAGTTTAGCTGAAAAACAAGAACAACTCTTCCAAGGTTGTAAACAGTTTAATTTGTCTCTTGTATGGTAAGAAGCAATTACATCAGTGGGAAGCTTGTGATTTACAGCTCCTCTCATAGCAGGAGACCCATTTTAGAAAGATGAAGGGAGCGGGTGTTTGTGGAACATCGAAGG